GATGTCTTACTACATTACTACTAAATGCAAACCTCGTAAAAATAACTGGCAGTCAGTGGAGGAAAGCCTTGTTTTGCCCTCCATGTGGGTGTTCCTGTAAGGGTGTGACGTCATGTGAATACTATGAATTACTAAATATTGGAGAAAGCTTTATGGTCAACTTGGATCACGTGTGTCTTAATAATCAATCACATTACAGCCTTGATGTCATTGAATTTCAGTCAGAGTTGTGCGACACTCACCCTGCGTTCCATTCGGAAGGGCTCATCCCTATGCCCTAATCCCTTCAAAGGGTTTACCCTCCGGAGTGAGAGCTTTGAAGTGTTGAAGGGTGTAGGGGACCAAACAACTGTTTCTTGAAGTGCCCACATGGAGGCGCCGTCATCATGCAAAGAATCTGTGCAAAGGATCATGGGAGCCCAAAGTGTCCATCAGTTGTACCCTTTGAAATCCTTCATTCCGAAGGGCCCTTTGAAGTTGCCAGTTTTGAGCACTTTGGTTTGGAACGACCCTTCAATATGGCGGCCATGAGTGTTTTCACTCTGAAGTGCCCTTCGGAGGGCGATATATCCCGTTTAGAACACACTGTCAATCGCTGTTTACGGATAGGAATAAATGAGAAGTGCCGTAAGCTGTATCCCTGTTGAAAAACATCAGAGACTTCTCTTATGAAACAAATTTTTTTTGATGTAAACTCTAAAATAGTTAAATCCAAAAGTATTGTTTAGTGCTGGGGTGTCAAACTGTTAATAAAGAATAACAATTTGGTCCCTTTGTAAATTCTCTTTGCCACCGTGACCTTTTCTCAGTCTCCTTAAAGTGTAAATACGCCCGGGAAGTAAGAAAACACACAGTCAAATGTATCCTCAATACTTCAATTTATTCATAGAAATACAGATATTATATAGGCATATGTCGAGGGGAGTTTCATCCTCTTAACCAATGAGGATATGAATAACATACACGTAGGATCTTTGGCCAAGAACATGTGTTTATATAAAATAGCCACATGTACAGAAAAACATGGACATATTAGGAATAGACTTTTGCGAAGAATGCTGAACTGTCTTCATGGTTTCATCACGAACTCCTTTACCCTTGTAGTCATAACATTCATGTCTTTATTGGGGACAGAAAAACAAGAGAAGCTAATGTATACATTTAAGCATGCATACTTCGCATATAAGTAAGACATATTTAAAACATAATATCAAGAGAGAGATGGATACAGAAGGAGGAATTCAGAGAGAATGCGTTGTATATATAAGAATGAGAGAGAGGGAGAAAAAGGAGGGGTAAGACATGTCTGGAATCAACAGAAAGACAGAGAGTGTTTTCTAACACAAACATAATTCCTTTTGTTCCAACCCTGCTCCAACTCACATACTATGCAGTTCACAAATAAGCCTGAAGGACTTGATTAGTTGGATCACGTGTTTTTAATTAGGGTTGAATCTAAACACTGCAGGGCTCCGGCCCTCCAGGAATTGAGTTTGACACCCCTGTTTTAGTGTCAAACATGTTGAAGATTAGCCGATATAGGCTGTCGATTCATTAAATGATAAGCTGTTTCCTCATAAAAGCATTTTATTCAGCATAGTGAAGCCTCTCCTCCATTAACATACATAAAAATAACGCCTCTGGTCTCCTTTCCCACATACTGCCAAAGGAGAAGCATTAGCATAGTCGTTAAGCTTTTTTGACTAAAGATTGCAGGTTTGCCTTCTAGTGGCTTTGATGTAAGGTCCGGTGAGAATGCTGAGAATATGCTAGTCTCGCGAGAACCAAGGTTTGTTTACAGGAGCAAAGGAAGCACATTTTCCTTTGTTTAGCAAAGGAAAACACGTCTCCTCTTGGCTTATATCAATATATCAGTAGTATATTATATACTACTGAGTATACCACTAGGGTTTCCAACTTCAGAAAATGAAATTAAGGGAAAGTTGTGGTTTTTCATGGAAAAATAAGGGACAGAATAAGGGACACACACACATACACTCAAGACAAAAATTTTAATAATCGTGCTGTTTTTTCAGTTCACTTTCGCTTTCGAAACCGAACACGTTCGGAGAGGAGGGGCACCGGCCCTGTATCTCTATCACAGCACCAGTTCGCAAACACTCCACATTTAAGAATGTACAGATGCCTAGTAGAAGGTGCACAAGACTTGCCAAGTACACGGGGAGGCAGGGCACTTAGCCCCTCTAGGACCCCTGATGTAGCCACACATGAAGGCTCCAGGCTGGGGTGCCATATCAAGTCGTTCGCTTGAGACAGCAGGTCCCTCCTGAGGGGGATTTGCCAAGGGGGAGTCACCAGCATCTCCCTGAAGTCCGGAAACCAAGGTTGATTTGGCCAGTTCGGGGCAATGAGGACCACAGACACTCTCTCTTCCCTGATTTTGCATAACACCAGAGGCAAAATCTTCACCAGAGGGAACGCATAAAGTCTGGCTATCGGTTAGCGTGACATTAGAGCGTCCCCCATCAGCGGCGAGGTACACAGCGAAAAGAATAGCAGGCAGTGTGTATTCTCGCTCGTCGTCAACATATCCACCTCCGCTCTCCCGAAGTGGTCCCAAATCATATAAACCGAAATGGGATGCAGCCTCCACTCCCCGTGAGGAATTCCGTTCCTCGAAAGCATGTCCGCTCCACGGTTTTGAAGTCCGTCACTCTGATGGAGAGTAGATGACGATCCGCCTGCTTGAAAAGGGCTCTGGAGCACATGCCACCTTGGCAATTTATGTATGAAACCACAGACATATTGTCGGAAATTGTTGGAAACCCTAATTTCCACCCATTCACTGCCATTATAAAGCATGGAAGAGCCAGGACATTTTTAAATATAGCTCAGATTGTATTCATCTGAAAGAAGAAAGTCATATAATGTACACCTAGGATGGCTTGAGGGTGAGTAAATCACAGGGTAATTTAAATTTTTGGGTGAACTATCCCTTTAACCAACCAATTCCTGCTCCGCTACCGCTAGTGATGAAGAAATTACATCCGTTTTAGCAGTATAATATCTTGTGAACTATTTTGTGGACTAATATTTCACAAACCTACCCCAGAAAGAGGAAAGAAACAAGAAAAAGTTGTTTAGCGGTTGATCTTTCATAGCTCAGTTTCATCAGCTTTGATTTTCATTGGTCAGGATTTTCATCAGTTTTTCTGCTATAATTGCTTATAAGATGTAAAACAGACACAAATGAGATAACCACAGATATACTAAGAATATATCTAGCTAGAATACCTCAGAATTAAATAAGTCCTCATATTGAATTATATGAATTTTGTAGATGTTGGTAGGCCTACCATGGCAAAGTTTTGAGTTGTTAAAATCTCTTCTGTAACTTTCAGGCAAATACCGGTGATGTTAATGGTGCATTTTTCTCAGCAGACTCAAAAATGTCCAGATGTTATTGAATAGAATGTATTTGTGATTCTTCTTCAATATGGGCCATGTTCCTGTCACAGTCTTCAGCCGGTGTGCCCAGGAGGGCCACCAGATGACTGTGTTCTGGGAGCACATGGCTTGTGTTGTGTTTGTCTGTTGCCATGTGCTTTCTCCTGTCTGTTGTCTGGCCCCTCCCATCTTGTTACGTCGTTATTGTTTTAGTTGCTCCACCTTTGTCTCCCTCGTTAGCCTCCTCGTTTGGTTCCTATTTATTCTCATTGTGTCTGCCGTCCTGTGCTGATCCGTCATTTCTCATCGTGTGTGTTTCGTGTCTGCATGTGTGCCGCTTTAGGCCTGCCTGTCTGTTTTTCCCCCTCGGGGTGGTTTGAGTTTGTTTTTGTTTCATTTTTTACTAAAATAAAATACCATTTCTCCAGCGATTGAGTCCTCGCTTCATCTCGCCGCACGCACTGTGACAGTTCCTCTGTTATTAGCTCCTGAGTCTGTAAGGAATGGATGTGAGGCTTGTGTTGACTGATCCATCCACACTTTTGCCTGCAGTGAGGATGAAAGCTAATGAGAGGATGTAAGTGAGGTGCTCCAGCAGAGGTACGGCTTCTGTTCTGATTGGCCCAGTTCTTGATGAGAAAGATGTAAAATAATGAGATGAGTATGGGCACTTTAAGTCTTTTTTCTTTCTTTTTTTTAAAGTTTGTATAATTTATTTAATTTTAAACAGCTGTAAAAGTTTGTCCTAAGAGCACAATTATTCAATACACGAGTTTCACAATTTGAGTTGAATTACTGAAATGAACTTTTCCACGACATTCAACAATAATAAATTGGTACATATGGTTTTAGCATTTAAATATATAAACTTAATCTGAAATAATCAATCTAAAAAGGTCTGTAAAAGCACAAGAAAATGTATAAGAGGAATGGAAAACTGAAACTTTTTTTTGCAGTGTATATAACATTTATTTCTGTTTTTGACATTTTCTTCTGATTTTTATATAATGAAGGAGTCTTTGGGTAGGGGTGTAGAGTATTCTTATAACAAGTCATTATCTTACAAATAAAAACATATATCATCTTGACCTGGTCTGATAAAGTTTCAGCACAAGCTTGCATACTGGTGAAGGAAATATAATTCACAAGCATAAAATTAACATCTGTATATATGTAACACGGTGCATCCCTGAGTTCTTGTCAAATGACTCATCGATGAAGACAACCTTGTAATTTTTTTTTCTTATCACAGATACATGTAAGTCAGAACAGATGAGGCTGTGATATACTGTAGGTAAGAATATAAATGTCTTAACTGCATGTCATGTCTGGTTATGTTCTCACTTAACTCTGATTCACTTCTCTGGGCTCATTTTTCACATCACTACCACAGGTTCCATATTTTTGACTCTGTAAAATTATCAGTCATTTTTATGATAAAATGTTCAGCTGAAACACACCCTAGCCCAGGGGTCTCCAAACTCGGTCCTGGAGGGCCGGTGTCCTGCAGAGTTTAGCTCCTACTTGCCTCAACACACCTGCCTGGAAGTTTCAAATATACCTAGTAAGACATTGATTAGCTGGTTCAGGTGTGTTTAATCAGAGTTGGAGAAACTCTGCAGGACACCGGCCCTCCAGGACTTAGTTTGGTGACCGCTGCCCTAGCCAACATGAACATTTCAGACTGGTGCCAACTGAAAAAATAAATCTATGCTAATTTACAAATAATACAGTATGTGCCTATCATCTATATCAGTCATTGAGCATATTTGGGCAAAAACATGTTGAGAAGCACAGATTTGTGCAAATGATAACTCTCTATGATTTTTAGATCACCCAAACATGAAATGAAAGGGGATGGGGACAAGAAGCAGTCAAGCTTTCAAAATAGACAAAACAGAACCATAAAAGTACCATAAAAATCTTAATGAACCATATTTGAATATCCTGGAATGTGAGTGATTTTAAAGATTCATGATGCTGTCTGTGAAAAATTACTTGTTTCTCGCAAAATACCACATGGCTTCAGAAGACTTCGAAGATAACTTGTATGATGTTTTATTGTCATTTTTGGAGCTTCACAGCTCCTCACTACCATTCACCTATTTAATATGGAAAATGGTGTAAAGAATGGCTAAATCTCTGTGTTTGTTTTCCATGGCAGGAAGAAAGTCATACAGGTTTGGAAAGACATGAGGTTGGATGAACTAAGCCTTTAAAATGATAAATCACTTTGAATTAGAAGATCCTTCAGTGAAACCTCCTAAAAGGACGTTGTTGAGGTTCGTAGTAACTGTGCAAACACTTGCTAGTGGTTTTGTTCCACAAAGATCAGTTTGCCATGTTATTAAAAGAGGGAAAAAGCATCAGTTCACTGCAATATTTTGGCCATTTTCCAGGTCTTGACCCAAATACCAAGATGAAATCTGGATACAAAAGTTGCATTTGGCAGCTGTATCTCTATAAGAGAAACTGGACAGGGTTCAAATCCCCTGTGCTCTTTTCATCCGCCTCAAAAATTTTCGCTTCTCCTCAAGTAGTTCTTGGATGCGCTTATTCCGTGTTTTCTCACGCAGAAACACGCGTCCTCTCCTGGCGATGATGTTATTCACAGGAAACTCGTTGTCCAATGGGATTATTTGATATGGTATATCAATAGCATTGCTCTCACTCGCTTCTTCCACTTTATTTGGCCGTCCGCTCATCTTATCTGTGTTGGATGCTGTTGTACTGGACAGTGGTGTACTGGAAGTTGTAGATATAGAGGTTGGTACCAGGGGTGCACTTTCTTTAGTGGTTGTTAACACCTCTGCTGTCACTGGGTTGCTGATGTCCACATTGCCAGAGGTTGTCAATTCGCTTTCATTCACACCATTCACTGTTGTTGACGGCAATACCGCACTGCTGTCCACATCTGGTGCACCATTACTCCCATCAAACTCTTTAAACTGGACGGTGGTGCTGGGATTGAGAGTAACATCATTCAGATCACTGAAAATGACGGGGAAAACAGTGCTGACAGGTAATTTGGTGCTGTTTGCCATGTCTTTTCCAGGTGCAGATGAGATCCTTGTTGCTGCAGAAACAGTGCTAACAGGTAATTCGGTCACATAATTTCCAGGTGCAGATATGATCCTAGATGGTGTATTAATGGCAAAGGATGTGCTCTGTTCTGGAGTAGCATGCTTATAGATAGGAGTTGTAGTATATAGATAAAAGGGAGCTGTTGTATATCTGTGAGTATCAGTTGATGTTGCCAAGGCTGTATATAACCAAGGCGTGCTCACAGATGTGGCACTTTTCCCTTCCATAGACGGCAAAAAGGCTGCTGTGGAGGTCCACGTGGTGCGTGTAGGACTTTGGGTTGTGGTGGATCGTCCTTTGGTGGTGATTTTCGATTTGGATGGTGGCAAAGTAGTCTTTGTGGAATTGCCAACCTTGCAGGACTTGCAGCACATGCGCTGGAAGCCCGGCATGGAGCAATACTGCTGCAGAACCTCCATGCGACAGAATGCAGAACGGTCACCATGACAACGTTCTGCAAAACAAGAGAGGGGTATAAGACATACAGTATGTATGTACATTGAAATCCAACTGAAGGCAAATATATGATTTAACATCACCGCAACAAGCTAAATACATTTGTTTACATGATCAAAACTAAATTTAAAGTTCAGATCAAGTTGAACAAATTCTTATGGTAACGATCAAGTCACCATTTTTTACAATCTATGATGAATATGCATAAAGAGGAGCTTAATAAGGATATGTGTAGCTAACTAGATATGTGTCTTCTCATGCTTTTAACAAGTTTGCTTGAGTAAGAAATAAGCAGAAATGAAAAAAAAAACATTAAAGAGAAGCATTAGATGAAGCAAATGAAGAAACAGAGTTATGAACTGACCATTAAGCAAGCCTGCAAAGACTGGCATATAGATGCATACTACATGACTAAACATGTTAGGTTAACATGCAGTTTTCTTTTGTCTTCCTTTTGAATGTGGTTATTTGTCCTTCTGAATATGGATTGTATTTATTTATATAATCGTTAGCTAAAACATTTTGCAAGATTCTCCAAAAATTGGTGATCGTCAAAAGGATTTTCAATGGCTGACAGCTGAGCGCAGGGTATTTGGTAATTTAAAACATAAATTGTTCGTTGCGTTGCACTACAAAAACCCATTATTCTGTGAATACATGACAAACATCAGTGTTTTTTTCTTTACCCTGATTCACTACAGTAAGCCTTATACTTGTAGCACAACGGACATAAGAATAAAACATCTCTGCAAAATAACCTGCAATTCTACCACAGATGGTGAAAGAGAGGCCAATGTTCTGTAGTGCACCTTTAAAGTAACTGGGAAAAAATCCCACTTGTCACAGAAAAACTGACAGAAAGCAGAATGACAACACAGGCAAGAAAAAGCCATAAGATCGTTTTTTCCCCCATTTTTATGACACGTTTTTTTATTCCTACTTTTGCAGTTGACCATGACAGAAACTGAAACCATGAAATGCACTCCCACCCCCATTTAAACATACAGATAGAGTTGTCGTCTTCAGAAAAATAAATCAACTGTTTTGAAAGGTACAAGTTCACAGTAACTTTGGTTAAACACTTCATTACTTTGAGAACAATTAATCCATTGGTAATTCAGATGAACAGTAAATAAATAAATAGGTCATTGGTTAAATAAAATACATGATTTCAATGATGATGTAAAAACTGGCATGGCACATACGAGTGTCATATATTAAACATTTACAAAACATTAATAAAGTTTCCCTGATAAATCAAAGTGCATATAGACGCAGTGCACGTAAGTCCATCTGAATGCTCCCCAGACATTTCCCCCCACAACAGCCAGCCAAGACGCAGTTGGGCCAGTGAAGTAACATGACAGTTACTCATAGTATATGATATTAGCATTTTTTTCTTATAAGTAAGGAGATAACAGTCATAAATGTTATTAAATACAGTAAACACCAATGTTTATTCGGATATCTCGCTACATAGTCACAACAGAAATGTGTTTCACGATACAATGACACGTCTGAAGTGATAAAGAGATGCTGAGTGTAGGTTTCCACTAAAACGCTTTTAGCCACTGTTTTCGGATGTGTGTGAAGATTAGTTGATCGGTTGTTTCTAATTCAGGCTTTGTTTGAAGCTGCCTCTGGTTTCTGTGCGCTAAGCCATCACTTTCACAGATAAATGCCGATACATTCAAACGTAGTGTAAGGCATTGTTCTTACGCTCTTGGCCCCCCCACTCCCCACTCCCCCCTTGGATGTGGATGAAAGTTCATGAGGTATATTTATGTGTCGTCTTTTGTATGGCCACTGATAACCGTAGTTAAAAACGCATGCTGGCAGACGTACACGCACGCACACGTGTGTCGGAAACGCTCGCACACACAAAGGCATGACGAAAACGCACATCACTCATCACCATGTGGAGATATTTAATGTGCATGAATCCGATCAAATGAAACCACAACTCTCAGAAAAAAAAACTGAGAGGCAACTGGCTGAGTGAGTCCTGCATAATATAGGTCTTCCCCTTCCCCCAAAACACTTAACTTCTGTTATTAAATAGCAATAGTTTTGTATTTATGTAAAATCAATAAAAAAATACACGTAACAGTCAAGAATTAAAGCGATCAATAGCAGTCAAAATGTTAGGCTAATAAGCTACAGCTTATTCATGGTAAAACAAATTATTAATATTTCATATTATTGGTACCCATATAGATTTATAGTCATATATAAATACAAATATATTTATATGTTTGTTTAAAGTCTGCAAGCACAAATAAGCTGCATTTATTGAATCTGTTAACAGTCAAAGAGAGGATGGAGGATGAGGTGGTTATGGCATTCGAACGTGTGTAGTAAAGCGACCCTGTTTAGCAAGTTCCACCTCATGTTCACCATCGGCCACCAACACGTACGATGGCAGTTCAACAGTACGTCCCATGGTAACATCTTAAATTGTTGGTTTGAGTGTTTGTTTTTGTCCCATCGGTTTTCAAGAATGAACTAGGATGTGGAATGAGCACTTAGCAAAGATTTCCTCATTGTGACAAGTTCACATTCACAATAAAGCTGAAGTTTTTTTGTCATTTTTTTTTCTTTTTTAATGTTTTAGCCACTTTTCATGTTTATTTTTCCCCCTTCACACCTGCAGCTCTGGCGGCGCCTCTGTAAAACGGCGTCCACCTTGAGAGCGTGAGCCATATGGAAACAGCTTACAGAGGGCAGTGATTCAAACAAACGCGTCACCCCTGCAGAAACCTCAGCGCAATCATTAGCTCCGCAAGCTGCCTGTCCAATCACAAAGCCCCTCCTTTAACAAACATTCCCAAAATTTTTTTACATGTTTTGTTTTGTCAACAATTTCTTACTGGCCAGCGTTCACAACACAGAGCTCCACAAAGGAGAGAGAGAGATAGAGCGAGAGACAGAGAGAGAGAGAAACAGAGAAACCTCCCCCTATCGGAAACGCCCCATAAAAGAGGACCACCACCCAGGAAAAAGAAGCGTGCAAGCCTCGGAAGAGGGAGGCAGTCAGGGGAGTTTGCCTTGTAAAGCCAGGCAGAGAGACAGAGGGAAGGTCCAGCTGAGAGAGGTGAGACAGCGCAGGGCCACAACGTGGCTGGAGAGAGACGCTTTACTTGACATCCTCTGCACAGGGTATTTGGGGTCGTGACGCGACAACCACTGTATCAGGAAGTTGCCGTGCTTGTTGAAGTCAGAAGTACTCCCTGTTGTATGTGGGAGAGGGATTGGGAAAAAGAAAGCCCGGGAGACAAAGAGAATGCGAAAGAGAGAAAGAAAGAAAAATCCCATTAACTATATTAGTGTATTCATTCATGTTATGAATTAGTCTGTTATTTCTGCAAAAACTAGTACAGATAATACAACTTTCATTAATAACATTAATAAGCATGCTTGACAGATCATTAGTAGGTGTACATTCAAATAATCCCAATTGTCTATACTTGGCTTCATATATTTTTGTCTTCATCAACATGAAATGAAAATCGATAATCGATATCTACGACTTCTGACTTGCACTTGGAAGATGACATATAAAACTGGCATTGCATATTATCATTTATCCTCCAAATTATTGATGCAATTTTTACAGGATTTATTAATCTAGTTAATGTTAGAAATATATATATATATATTAGAGATATATATATATATATATATATATATATATATATATATATATATATAAAAACTATAGTTCATTGTTATGTTCATTGTTGGGGTCAGTGAGTGTTTTTTTTTTTACTTTTTTTTTTTAAGAATTTAAACCTTTATTCAGCAAAGATGCATTAAATTGATCAGAACTGGCAGTAAATACATTTATGATGCCACAAAAGATTTCAAAGAATACTGAAAAAATATTAAGCAGCACAACTGTTTTCAACAATGCTCATTAAACAAGACCTGTTTCTTGAGCACCAAATCAGTATATTAGAATGATTTCTGACATATCATGTGACACTGAAGACTGAATCTTATGAAAAATTAATAAATGTTTTAAAATATTGTTCATTGGTATTTCATGTTAGATAATGTACACATCCTTATTGTAAAGTGTAACCAGTTAGATACATCCTCGTCTCGGAGAGATGCATTATGTGAGCATTACTCCCACCAACCATCTGACTCCATTTTGGTATGTTACACTCACGTTTAATGATTCAACCAATTATCAATGGCTCTCAAGCCCTGCCCTATATTTTTTCTAGTTTAATATCTTGCTACACTCAGAAATTTGTCAATTTAAAATAGGCTGTGAACAGCACTTCATGTTGACTTTCATTTTGAATGTACTGTTAGATGTTTCGTGTTGTTATTTCAGACTTAATGAAAGTTACTGAAAATGTGAGCACATAATCAAATACGCACTTGGGCAGGGATCCATTCTGCAGGGTCTTAATGCAGCTGGTTTGGAGTCCAGACACAGTCCAATGGTGTTGTCACGGGTGTGACAAAGCACCTGCCTCTCCTGCGTACCATTACCACACGTCACTGAGCACTACAACAGCAAACACACAAAAAAACATTCATTATTTTTATGCTAAAAGTTGATCAAACTAATCCCACGCGCAGACCTATATGGATAGAAACACAGCATGTCAGATGTCTGTACCTGTGACCAGGGGCCCAGCCTCCACTCAGCAGGGCACAGGTTGCGATTGCAGTCTCTGCGGGACTCTGGGCGCTCGTCACTGCAGTAACGGCTGCGGATGGATTTGATCTTGCCGTCGGCTAGAGGCTGGACGCAGCGTACAGAGCGTGTCTGAGTGCCAGTCTTCCCACAAGACTTACTGCATTCACCCCACTCTCCAGCCACCCAGCTAAACACATAGAAACAGAATCAGTCAAAGTTTATCAGGAAAAACAGGTGCCAAAGTGTCATGTGTGATACAAGAAACAACAGTGTCACAGTGACATCTACTGGAAATAAACTAGATAAACTACAGTATAGTTGCAGAAAACCAGACCACAAAATGTAGTGCTAGGGAATGCTAGTTTTAAAAGTAATGCTACTTTTTTTTTTTACGTTATTCATAATAAGATATAAATTATAAAAGTTTTTTATGTATTAATGTATATTAAATGTACTAACTACACATTTTTATAAAATTATAAAATACATCATTACACAACACTGAAATGTTTGAGCTATTTTAAATAACAGGAAACATGTATTACACAATCAAATGTAATTTTTTTGACAAATTAAGATTTCTGTGTTGATCTGCATGCACTGAATATATATATATATATATATAAAGGTACTAATTATCACAACATCCAATTTTAAGGTGGGTTTAAAATGCAGAATAATAGTAATAAATAAAATAAGTAATTTGTTGGTGTGTCCAAATTCTTTTGTTGTTACTTCAAAAAAGTAATCTGATTAAGTAATTTGTGTTGCCCCCAAAACTGAAAATGTGAATAAAAAAACTCACACACACTCACATGGGCTGAGCACACTCGCTCAGGTAACAGTCTCTAAACAGGGGCGGAGGCTGCTTGAGTTTCTCACAGAATCTGCGATGGACCATCCTCATCTCTGCATTTTTACGGCAGCCATAACGCGTCATCTGAATACCTGTCCATAAGAAGGTAGCGGAGAAAATACTCATGAACATCAAAAGAGAAAAGCAGAAAAATATACACAATTAATCCATAATTATGCAAATAATGTAAGCTAACATTCTATTGGACTGAGTTTTGTCAGAATTAACCAAATGGGGTTTCGGTTAAATGCCTAAAATAGGGACTGTGGTTAACACATGCTCCAGATAATTAAATGATTTATTCTACTACAATTCACAAATGCATACTAATGTGATTTTTCAAAAGCTTGTTTAAAAAGTGGCTAAATGGGACTACAGAGTTTGTTAGGGACATTAAATGTCATCATGGCGAACAGGTAAATTAATTTACTGACTATTCTGCTTTTACAGCCTCATTGTGTTTATAATTGGACTCTTGTAAACTACTCTAACACAAAATATAAAGTGCCCCTATTATGCCATTTTGAATATTGCCTTTCATGCAGTGTGTAATGTAGCTGTATGTGAATGTAAACAATCTGCAAAGTTGTAAAGCTGAAAGTGCATGATAAATAAAGTTATTGACTGCCAAAAGAAAGAATCGACTCTGAACTAAACGTCAGGAATTTGAATCCCACTTCCGTGATGGCTACACATCACGTGGTAACACATTTGCATAATGCCCACCTATGTTCTACACTGGCCGGCTGCGAACAACTTGACCCACTCTCAAACACTGAAGCTTGTTTGTGTGGTTAACATCATGTCAAGAAGATGCTAAACATTCGTTTTATTTTCACTTCCGAAAGATTAGGTTGCAAAGAATCAGTGGTTAAAATTATTTTTTTCTTTTCATTCATCATTTCATTTTATTAATCTTTTTTTTTTGTGTGTCCCCGTCATTTACTGATGACTGCTTCTCTAATCTCAGGGAGTTCAACGCGGGATTCACAAAATGTTTGCTCTTGAAAGATGCCTCAGTACCCAGTTTTTTTGGACCAGCTGGCTCCACTTACACAACATGTAAGTATGACAAATAATAGATGTGTATATTTTCTATCGAGCCTTCAAAATACGGAACTATTGCAATGGGTGTATCGTTTCTGACATGCGCTGTATGCGGTAGACCAATCACAACAGACTGGGCCATCTGACCAGTCAGAGCAGAGTAGGCTTTTAGAACTGCTTCAAACTAATCATTGTTCCAGTTAGGTGATATTAAATGAATATTTTGAGAAAATGAAAGCATTTTTTGACCTTGCATGCATGTAAACTCATTGTAGGAGACTCCCAAAACTATATTAGAGCATTAAAAATGGCATAATAGGGGCACTTTAAGAGAAAAAAAGTTTTTATTTTTTAAATAAAAACTGAAATAGTTTTTACTTCTGGTGATTGTATTTAGACTTTAAAATTCATAAAAGTTGTGAAGATAATGATGAACAAACCGTGTAACAATCATGAACTTTTGTTGGTCATACAGCCTATTTTCTGCAATAATCCAAAAGCCTATGGAAAAATCCTATTGGTTTTTGTTGTGGGAACCAGAGTGATGCTGACCTACAGGTTAGCTTACAAAACACGTCATCACTGCAGTGCTCTATATATGGTGGACAGTAACAGTTGCTAAGGTAGGATTGGTCACTAATGTTTTTAAGGCAGGACTTGGCAAAGGATCAATTATAGCAAAAACTGAGAGATGTAGGGGGAACTTAGCTGTCTGTATCTTTATCAAACTACTCCCAAACAAAAGATTGTGGTTACAGTGAACTACCTCCTCCACAGGTCTTGGAACAGGGTGTCCATCGCTTCACCACCCAGGAGTATGGCACCGCATTATCAGGGACCATGTTATTCTCATTGGCACAGTCACTCAGTCTGTCACTGTCAGTGATGTATTTTATCGACACCTTCAACTTGGCCGATCCATGCATTCGGATCTAGTAATCAATTACACAATTAAAGACGATCAATTAAGACAAGTTGTGTGTCCACTTATGTGTGTGTTTGAGTTCCTACAGGAGATTACCATGACAACAACATCATTTTTCAAGGGTCCGCTGGTTTGAATGGTGTCCTTGTTGTTTTTATTTTCATACTCCCATTCCAGACCTTTTTCAATAACTGAGCGTGTCTCTGGGTAGTCTCCATATGCGTTGAGAAAGAAATCACCCAACGCTTTATTCCTGACAGCTATTGAATTAAAAAAATGGAGAAAGAGAGCTGCAATCAAACAAGCATAGTGCTGAATGTATGAAAAACTACAGGAAATGATCAGGCTTTACCTAAAATGTGAGTAGTTCCATTAAGTTCCTGGATTAAGAGATGCCTTGCCCCTCTGGGAACTTCAAGCACTTTAATGACACCTAAACCAAATGCAAAACATTTACAAATCACTATTACTTCACTACAAAACTTTAATAAACATAAAAATGTGAACTAGGCCTGTGATGCATTAACAACCTGCCCATGCCAGGTTTTGGAACAGAGCTTATATGTGTGCTGTGGAGACGTACCTTTCTTCTCTACAAAGGTGAAGTTAAACTTGTGAGTCTTGCACTTGGTTCCGTCTCCCCCGCAGACGCCGCACTTATCTTCCTGAAGAGCTGATCCTACCACATTATCACAGCCCACTTTCTGAAGGGAGAGAGACACCGTGAGCAACAGGTAACTAAACACATACATTTACAAGTAGTACACACAGCTATTTACCTCACAGTCTCCGTACACACACACACTGTAGGGATCTTTGTAGGAGCAGTGTGTTCCAGGTTCCACCTGAGTCTGCATGTTGACTACAGCTCGCGTCTCTTTGGATTGACAGAACAATTTGCAGCGTTGCTTAGCTATGAAAAACAAGACAAGAGAGATCCTTGAGTGATGGATTGAGATTTAGTGCATATTTATAAGGATTTAGAAGATCTTGAATTCTAAGAAAAATATACAAATTCTCATTTTAGTTAAGAAAATAATAAAGAAAAATAAAATAAATGTTGATCATATACCAAAAAAAAAAAAAGGTCTCTTGATAGTCTTTACATGGTTTATAAAAGCATTGTACATTATATCATCCCAAACAGTTTCCCAGCTAATCCAAAAACTGGACGCTTCTGTTCCAGAAGTACGTCCAAGTAAATCTTTCATAAAGACCTAAACTTATCCATGAACAATGTGACGCCTGTTAAATGTCCCAGTAATTTAAAAGCATTTAATTTCACTTTGTGTGGAAAAAGTTCAAGTAAAACAAGTACTTTATTCCCCTCCAAAAACTCAAAGCCACACAAATCAAATCAAGGTCAACAGAGTACATTTCTCCTGAGAGTAAAAATGGTAACCTCATCTGATCAAAGGTATACCAAGCGCATTTTACCGTATGAGACATGACCACAAACATTCTTTTGTGAATTAAAAAAAGGCTCAAAAAGTCTCTCTTTATATGAGAATTACTTTGGATGTGCTTGTGTTGATCATAAGACTAAGGCAGATGTCCACAGCACTAATGACTCTGGAGGTACTTCATGTTCTAAGTGATGTCATGAATGGTGTAGAAGTACATGTGGAAAAAAAGAGGGGGGTTTCAATGAAAATATATTTTCATGTGTACCCACTGTGTAAATGAGAACAGCTGTGTGCAGATACAGATTACATCAGCCCGGTTACAAGCCTGGCTGACAAACTGAGCTTGATTGTGCAGGACAGGAGTAGGAAACAATCTAAAGTAAGCTTTAAATAAAATAAAACTAATTTAAAATAATAGAATTGTATTCTACATTAATCAAAGTACATCATATTAATTTAAATAAACTTTACATATAAAAACAAAGTCAAATGTTCTGTTGCGTTGATATTTAAGATTTTTTGACATTTGCCAAATTGCTGTCTTCTGCTTCTAATATACGGTGCAGAGTGAAAAGTATTTTGGGCAGTACTGTGAAATATTGCAAGCCAAACTTGAAAAACTTACAGTAGGCTCAAAATGTCTAAACTACCATGGCATGACCCTGATAAATTAATTTGAGGATTACTGTTATTGTAGACTTTGTACTAAGGTCGTCGTGATTTTGCCAAGTAAGACAAATTCTTTTGTTGATCCTGAATCAACATTACTGTCCAAAAATATAGACCTAACCCAATCCCTACCCTTAAACCTAACCCTACCCATAATTTATTCCTAAAATCAGAGGAAATGATAGCTGATTAACAAGGGTGTAGAAGCATCTAACCCTGACTGTAAGCCTAAAACTGACATTTCTTGAAAACATATCCCTCAATTCTGATTGGTTGATTGGAATGTTGTTCCAGGAACATGTAGTACTTGGTGAAATCACATTCACCTTGTACTAATTAGATGGGGGTGGGGATCACATTTGCATCCACAAATTATTTACATTATTTAAAAATAATTTACATTATTTATTTACACTATAAAAAAATTTTTTTTAACAAACAAACTGTTTTCAAGGTGTCTTTTTTTTTTTTTACAGTAGAAAAGCTGTTTTCAACTCTATGTGGTCGAATGAAATTTGCCGTATTACTTACGGTCGGAATGTTCATAAGGCAGCCAGTGGTGCCAGGTATTCTGGTACTCAAACTTGTTGTCCATCATGCTACATTGCTCGGCTCGGTAGTCATGGTACAGGTCCTCACACTCATGCATATTACACATCTGGAACTGATAGCTTGGGCCGGCGCAAGAACGTCCACCGTTTGCTGGACTGGAGGAGGTTAATGGAAGTAGGGAAAAAAAGAGCTATATATGAAAAAATTAGACAAGCCAACATAGATAGATAGATAGATAGATAGATAGATAGATAGATAGATAGATAGATAGATAGATAGATAGATAGATAGATAGATATACAAACAGCGGATTGTCACAAGCTCGGGTGCGAAACTGTAGTCCCCTTCCACAGGGGCGAGAGCAGGCACCAAGCTCACTCCACATCCCCCAGTTTCCGTCCTTTTTTATGATGTCTGGAGTCAGATGCATACAGTGGCCTTTAAAACAGTGCTGAGAGAGGAAGAGAGCAGGGCAAACACATAAACACAGAGGAAGCAAGTGAGTCTACCACCTCAGGATGGATCTGCATGAAAGGCTGAGTGGTACCTTCCCATCACCGCATATAGTGCCATCAATGGGTGGACCTTTTTTGGTCTTGCAGAAGAAGGGGTTGTCTGGGTGAGCACACCAAAGCTGCTTACAGGGGTCAAACGGGCGATACTGAGAAACAGAGGAACAGAGAGAAGAAAAATCATTCTCAAACTCACACACACTCTGAATGAGAGAAATCTTATGACAAGACGCAGCTGGTCAGATAGTCATAAGGCTAGGATCAAACTGAACAACTGTTCATCAAAATGACAAACAACACTATTAAAATGGCCCTGTAAAGTTCTTATAATTGAAAATAAGTCCATTAAACAGACACTTTTTATAAATTGTAAATAAAGTGATAATATAATAATTAAAATTGATCTCTCTTTTCTCTCTCTATATACATATTTATAGGGGGGGGGTTAACATATATATAGCCGGGTTTTTTTTTTTAACTGTAATAATAAAAAAATTCTATATATAATGTTACTTAATATAAGATAAAATATAACATAATATTATAACAGCTGAGAAAACGGTATGATATATTTTCATTAATGGGCAGGTTGCATTTATGTAACAAAGCAATCTCATGCAGGCAAATCAAAACAATGACCAACACTGTTTTAGTTACGATGCAGCCTGTGACCAACAGCACAGTTAGACAACAGAATGCTGGGCAGTGATGGAATATGGCCTCAGTTAAGGTCAAACGTTAAGCAAAATCTCTCTTTTTTTTCCTTCCTCTGAGAGGCGTAGTAGACAAGACCAGAATCTCTGGCTGTGGTACTAATGATGACACTTCATTTAGCAGGATCCTTAACCCAACAAGCATTTTAAACACATCAAGACACCAAGTGCAAAATAATGGCTCACAGTTTTCAGCAGAAGCCAGCTGGCTGCTACTGTTGTCTCAGTTTGAATATTGTTTAGAGTTTGCCAAGCTAAATAGCGAAAAGATTGCTAGGCCAATAGCTAGATGATTATTTAGCACCTGTAAAGATTTTTAGATGCTTCTGAGAAATGTATGATTAAACCTGCCCCATTCAGCAATCTATTCATGGATATCTTTTCTAATGAATGTAGAAAACTCTCTGAAAAGTCCACCAGACTGCAATGACCTGGTCAACTTGACATTAAAGGAATGTTCAAAAGAGGTTTAAGATCTACAATATTGAGAGAATCTGTGGCATGCTTTCAATTACTACAGAGAATAATTTTATCCTTCAGTTCGAAAAACAGGCAAAAAATAGTTTACACTGGTGGTTTTCAACTGAAGTCTAGGGGCAAGGCATTCCAGAGGGTTTAGAAGCAGAAATGTGCCACTAAATGTGTTTTTGCTAAAGCACTTATATCAGTTCTTTCATACAAAAATGTGTTACCTAAGCCGCAAAGTTGTCTAAATCGCTCATTTAGTGGTGGGACTACTGTTCTGGGTGGATGAACCCCCTGTTATGCTTTATCCTAATGCAATTCCTATGTGTGGAAATTGCTCTTTGTTTGAGTATTCATGTGCATATTATTGTACATACAGTATATGACATCAATTTGTGCATTTTTGTACACACACTTTATACATTTATTTTTAGAAACTGAAGTACAAGCCAAGTATGTTTTAATTACAAAATTTTTATTGAACTCAAGCATCCCTTTTGATGCTTGTGAATGTCAGTTAATTCAGAAACAACTGTGGGTTTAGTATCCTGCTGCGTATGTGTCTGCAAAATGACAATGAGTTCAACACCAACCAATAACATGTAATGATTAACAATAAGACCATCTGAATTGAACCAAGTTCAAATGAAAGAGGCCACATTGCGACTGAGGAGAACACCTTACCTGGGCTCCTGCTGGCCCCACCTTTTGCAGCTAAGGGAATGGTTAAACAAGACAGTGAAGTACAGTCCAAGCAGTGCTGTTCAACTGGAATCTCATTTTGTGAGCAGAAATGATTCTTGAAATCATTTTTATCCAGTTTATCAAGTGATATCAAACTCATGCCATCTTGTTTTGATTATCTGAACAATTTTATTCCCAACAGTGAACTGCAAACAGTGTAATTACAGCCTTGCTTTTTCTCTCATATAGACGACTGATATCAATTTGAAATTTGGTGCTCATCAAATAAAACCAGCTGATGTGCTATGGAGTATTTTTAAAACCTGGTTCTTCTCCCATTCACTAAAAGATTTGTTCACACAAAAATGAAAATAGTTTCATCATTCACTCTCCCTCATGTTAACCCGTATGATTTTTTTTTTTTTTGCGGAACACGCACAATGTTTTCAAGCAGTGTTTCTAAACCCTGGTCCTGGGCGCCCCCCAACACTGTTCATTTTGTATGTCTCCCTTGTCTGACACACCCATTTCAGGTCCTGGAGTTTCTTCTAATGAGCTAATGAGTTGAATCAGGTGTGTTTGATTAGGGAGACACACAAAATGAGCAGTGTTGGGGGGCGCCCAGGACCAGGGTTGAGAAACACTGTTTTAAAGGCTTTGAAACTTGCAAAATTATGAAAAGATTTTTTGAAAAGACCTGACACAAAATAAGAACTTGTTAATGAATCAGTGCTGCTTTGCTGAACATGCCAAAAAGAGCTAGAGCAGTGAATGGTGACTTAAATTTCAGTCTCTATAACTTGCATTATTTCACAAGACTTGGAATAAAGTGCATGAGTCATATGGACAACCTGGTCCTGGGCGCCCCCCAACACTGTTCATTTTGTATGTCTCCCTTGTCTGACACACCCATTTCAGGTCCTGGAGTTTCTTCTAATGAGCTAATGAGTTGAATCAGGTGTGTTTGATTAGGGAGACACACAAAATGAGCAGTGTTGGGGGGCGCCCAGGACCAGGGTTGAGAAACACTGTTTTAAAGGCTTTGAAACTTGCAAAATTATGAAAAGATTTTTTGAAAAGACCTGACACAAAATAAGAACTTGTTAATGAATCAGTGCTGCTTTGTTGAACATGCCAAAAAGAGCTAGAGCAGTGAATGGTGACTTAAATTTCAGTCTCTATAACTTGCATTATTTCACAAGACTTGGAATAAAGTGCATGAGTCATATGGACAATTTTATGATACTTTAATGGCGCCGTTGTGTTCTTTAAAAAGCTTGAAAGCTCCTCCTTTTGTGCTCCACAGAAGAAAGAAAGTCATACAGGTTTGAAACAACATGAGAATGAGTAAAATAGTGAGAGACTGAACATTTTTGGTGCACTATTCTGTTCCATTAAGCCTTTTCCCTTTTGGCATGTACAGATATCACTTAAAACAAAATACTGTGTTCCATTCATAATGCATTATTGGCATGTATAACACACATCATACTGGGTCACGGCGCTCTCCGGTGAACCCAGTGACCACAAATGGTGATTGTTATGGCAAGCTGATGGTTGTCAAGGAAGAATGCTTGTAGAATTATACATGCTCGTAGTGATTTTACAATCTCATTATAATAATGCATTACTTGAATGAAAAAGCCTGTGCATCAGTAAATTCATGGCTCACCGCTGTGCACATCATGTATCCGGCCCCAAAGTCAAAGCGACATTGTTCGTGCATGGAGTAATCCATCCCAGGCAGGTGCGGAAGCTCCTCCCATTTGGGCTCGATCGGGTCGTCACGGAGACAATCATACGAACTTCAGAGGCAGAATGAGATGGTATATAATCCACAGTCGTACTAGTCAAGATTGTCTGTGTATGTCTGTCTATCACTCACTGCAGGTAGCGGCCCAGTTCCTGTTGACTGCAGCGGGACCAGTGGAAGCGGTGGAAAGCAGCCTGCACCAGTGGGGCCATGATGCTCCCCATCTGCACCTCATCGCCACAACGATTCCCCTGCCCATCATGCTCCATCCCCAACCTATAAGACATATGCATATATACAAACAATTTACATTTTTGAGGACAACTTGCCCTTTATTTTGGCATTTTTAGATTTTAATTAAGTTACAAACAGACATTGGTCAGGATAGACGCCATATTTATGGAATAATGTGAAGTTGAGAGTTTTGAATGAATTGGTTGTGCGAATGAATCAGTGGTTCAATCATATTGGCAGTCACTTGTTTTGTTCCTAAATTAATTTGTTTTTGAACAAATCTATTGAGAAAATGACTCAGTGATTCACTCATAGTGGCTGCATCCAAAATCGCATAATCTCTTAAAGGGATAGTTCACCAAAAAGGAAAATTCTGTCATTAATTACTCACTCTCATGTCGTTCCAAACCCGTAAGACCTTTTGTTCATCTTTGGAACACAGTACTCTCTGACCCTCCCATAGACAGCAAGGGTCCTTACACAATCAAGGTTCAGAAATGTAGCAAGGAGATCGTTAAAATAGTCCATGTGACATCAGTGGTTCAACCGTAATTTTACGAAGCTACGAGAATACTTTTTGTGTGCAAAGAAAACAAAAATAACGACTTTATTCAACAATTCGTCTCCTCTGTGTCACCCTATAGTGGCATTTTGAAGAGTATCACATACGTAAACAACGTATGCAGTTCTGTGTCAGCAGCACTGTACGTGGATGCGCTGTTTACGTTGTTTACGCCTTGATCTGAACGTAAACAGCGTAGCCGCATATATACATTGCATACGTTGTTTACGTATGTGATACTCT